GAAATATTTGACATCTCAATTACCCAGCCTGCAGCACATCCAAATTCTGTTCTTGTTTTGCTGTTTTCTTTGTTTGTCTTTCTGGAAACAACAGGCCTGAAAATAGCTGAGCAATTTAGCATGCATAAACAAGAAATTATATTTCTTGTTGGTGCCATGCAGTCCATTACGTAAGAGTTTGTAAGCTCACAGAGACATGAAGTGTTTAAGCTGTTATATTAAGAAATAGGTAAATAACTGCACTATTGTTGTATATGTTGTATGTCTATAATTTAGAATGATAAAGTATGCGATTTTGATGAAAATGTCTTCTTATCTGAGTTATGAAAATGGACATCTCGTGATTGGAAAAGTGGTTGAGTCTTCTTTTTATCCTCTTAAGGAAGCAGAAAAGGCTAAGGCCCTTAAAACGAAACCTTAAATCAGCAAACTATGCTTCCCTTACATCCTTGTTTTACTGCTGTAATAGTTCACCCTGTCCAAAATCCTTGCTTTATATCTACAAGTACTGAAGTTAGAGTTGCAGGATATGGCTCTACAGGTGCTTGGTTCCAAGTACTTAGAGATTCACTTTTATAAAGAAAGCCCATATCCTTATCTTCAGGTAATACAGAATACGTGTCAGATTAAATAATACTACTTATACTTCAGCGATAGTATCTAGGTGTTACGTTATTGTATGTCTCGTACCATGTCCGTTGGTTGTGCTGTTCTTTTTACATCTCTTTGCAGGTGATGAAGCAGACTGAAAATGTTTTATCGTTATCTCCCTTTTATCTCCTCTTTCTTTTGTCTTTTCTCCTTTTTTTCTGTTTTTCCTTTCCTGTTCTACCTACATTGCAGTGTCCATATAATCTGTAAAACTCCATGCCTAATTATAATAAAGCTATTTATATGCATAAATCAAGCGGAAGACTATGGTAATAGCCGTAGTGCTCCACTGGTGAAAGTAAAATCTGTTGGGCCTTTGTTTGGCATCAAGACAATTATTCTTATTGCCACATTGCCAGACAGGACACTGTTAAAAAAAAAAAGAAAAAAGAGAGAGAGAGTTGCTGGATATGAGAAGATAATTAATGCTAAGATAGCAGCTGCTTGGATGACCTGCCAATTATGAAAATAACTTAGTTGCATTATCCAGCAGAAGGAGCTGTTATAGAATGTGTTCTTGTAAAGTTCATGAATGATGAGGACAGTTTTTATTAAAACCATTTTTAGACTAAAATACCATTTTATTTAATCTTTCATTTAGCTGATAAAAAAAGATTCTAATTGATTTATGTAGTAATGACCAACCTTTTAGTTTTTAGCTGCATTATTTTATCTCATTTTAATTTCTTTTAAAACCTTGTGCTAAATGCATCATACTTGTAGGCATGGGTAGTTCTAGACAAAGGCCAACGGGGCCAGTGCCCCTGTACATCATGTCCTGGCCCCTGTTATGGCCCCTGTACTGAAGACATAATACTAAAAAGAAATTCTAATGATGATATGCACTGGAACAGACATAATTACTGATAGGTCCTTTGGATCTATCAGTAATTAGTAATTCATTTTTTTTCTTTACAAATTCTGTTTTACTAATTATTTAAAAACAATAAGCTGATAGCTTCAGTGGTATTGAGATAGGATCCCAGTTTTCATCTGCTAAATGTTTTTTTCAAAACAAATTGTTTAAATTTTTACAGGTGAATTTATCAGTTTTTCTTGGGTTCTAATTCAGATTTAATAGAAAATTATAATTTTAACTTAAATTAACTCAAAAATATATAAATTATGAACATATATTGACCTCATAATAGAATTCTAATTAAACCTAAATGTATAAAAAATTCACTTCATGTAGCTATCTTAATATATTTGAATCCCTTGACCTGTTTTTTTATTTCATGCTTTTCTGTGCCCCCATGAAAACACCCTGGCCCCCTCCTGGCCCCCTTGTACATTTGGTCTAGACCCGCCACTGCTTGTATGTACAGAATTTTTTCTGGTGTTCCATTTAGCTATAGAATGACCTATTTCTATTTGTTTATTCCATTTTTCTTTCCCTTGTAGTGCACAACTCTCCTGCTTCTACAAGCTATGCAACAAACTGAGACAGAGACTCCACTCTTAAAGCTCAAGACTTCAGGTGAGTTTAGAGTATTTGAGAGTCAACAACATTTGTACAAAATTAAAACAGAAATATTAAAGGTATAATGGAGGATGTTCTTTTTATGGGAGGATCTTCAAAATAAGTGGTTCTCCTAATTTTAAATCATTCTGGTGGTATGTTCACGTAAGGCCGTCCTACGTGCTCGCCCCCACTTTCACTTACAAGTCTGACATAGTGGAAAAATTACAAATCTTCTTTTGGAAAGTAAGCTTGTGTGAGCAATGCAAATAGCAACTTTTAAACAGAGCGTGCACAAGGTGAAATGGGCTTGTGTATGCTCTCTTAATAAGCATTCCCTAACAGGAACAGGTACAGGGTTGTGCATGTGTTTTTTTTATGTGGAAAGGGCAGGTCTTCTCAGAAATTCGCAAACATCCTCCACAATACCTTTAAACATATATACAAACATTTACTCTAAAAGTTAAACTCTTAAAGCCATGAAAGACTCCTTGTAGTCCAACAATGAGATAATCTGTCCACCAATCTTGTAAGGAGCAGTGATCTGCCGCACTGGGAGCGTTATGGAGTTAAGGGCCTTATTTTAATTCCCAGAGTGACACTTTGGGTTTTAAACCCCATCTGCAATGCTCTTTATAGCAGCTATCATTAAGGAAAAAATACACTACTTAGAAAAATTCCTTTGCAAAGTTTGTTTCACTGGAAGGAATTAACTAACTGTGCCTAATTAAAAAAATAATAATAAAATTACCTAAGCACAATCCAATCCATCCAGTTGGTGGTACACTTTTGACCTTATGGTAACATTTGGAATATTTTACCCTTTTCAGCCCTACTAACTTAGTAAACCAATGTATAAATTCTTTTTAAAGCAGTTTTCTATGTTTTGCGCACCACCTAGTGGCAAGATTGTGCACTGCTCCTGCCATGTAGCATTACATAACTCAGCCTCTCAATGTACACACCGTTATGTAACATAATACATAATATTTCAAAAGTGTTTAAGCTCACATGCAATGAATAAAGTGTATTTTAGTTATTTTGTGTAACTATAACACTGTTATACATGATAGAATATATATATATATATATATATATATATATATATATATATATATATATATATATATATATATATATATATATATATATATATATGTAAAATGCATAGATATTTTCTAATAGTGCTGCAGAACATGAAATATAACAAAATGACAAAAGAATCAAAGCCACTGTTATTGATAATTTATTTTTGATTCATTTTACATTAAGAGAACCCACTATCAATCCAATTATTTCAGATACCGGTAGGTTAAATTCTTCCTACAATAGAAATTTGAGTTACAACACAAAGCGTTAATCTCTTAATCATTCAACTTTTTACATTCTATTTCATTTCATAGTAAACAGGACCACTTCTATTCAATAACCTTCACTCAAATGCTGGCTTTTGTGCAAAAATCTTTTTTTTTCCCCTTATATTTTTCACATGATAACCGGTGATAATTTACAAGCTGTATGGCCACTTTTTTTTAGATATATATTCAACAACAAATGTATAAGATATTGATTTACTGTGCTTATTTACTTTACTACAATATTACAGGCTCATATTTTGTGGAGCAGCTTTAAAAAATAAACAGTAATTTTGGTCCATGGAACAAAATTTTTGGACACCGGTGGCGTACAGGATCAGACAACAGCGTCAGATTTCCCTGACTCTAGTCATGGGCAGTAATATTTAATTTGGGGTTTAAATTATATAAGAAATAGCCTTAAATATATTAAACAAGCAAGATGCAAAGTTTAAACTCGTTGCCGATTCTCTCTATCATACAGCTGTCTAATCTGGCTGGTTTGAACTTGTATCCCTTTAACAGACCAATTTATTTTTTTGCTACACTTTATTGTTTCAGATGATCAAACAAAACTGAATGTCAAAGATGATGTGAGGATGTTTAAAATGCAGTTTGTATTAAAGGAAAAAGCTATCCAAATCAACCTAGACTTGTTAAAAAGCAAGTGCTCCCCTAAACCTAAGAAGTATTCTTGGCAACATCCATTACCAACAAATGATTGAAACCAGCTCAAACATATGATTATGCCACAGCCTCTTAAACTCTAAGCTATTTCATAAGCCCTTTTCAGGGAAGATTATGTATTGATGGCAAGTTCTGAACCATTGTTTAATAACCTCCAAGTATGTTTGAACTTATCATGAAATGTGAGCAGGGTATCATCCCTTCTTCAGGACGTTCCACTAGAGGAGAAATCATGACTTCATTAAATATTGGCCTGATGCAAAAGAATGCAAAAAAAAAAAAGAAGAAAAAAAACGCAAAGCAGACCAAGATAATTACACCACCACCGTCCTTAACAGGTGGTTTAGTATCTTTTTGGTAACACTGTACCACATTGTGCAGGAAACTTTAATCTTTCAGCCTACTTCATGTTGTCACACAGGTATTAGTTTCCCAGTCATCAGTCTTCACTATGACTTATCAAAATTATGTCAGTTTTGAAAAATATTTGTAAGGGGGAAACATCAGTTTAGATGGTTTTCCCCTAATAAATGACAATTTGAAAGCCTGGAACTGTATTGAAGGTACTGTGTGAAAATCAAGTTTGAACATTAGAATTGAGAAAAAAATCAAATATTTAATCTAATACTCAGTATTTTCAGCATGCTTTTCTAATTTAATTATTTTTCACATAAGATTCTATTTTGTAAAAAAACCGAATCATGTAGTTCCCTTTACAGTTGGGCTCATTTGCTATTACTGCATTTGACAGATTCATTGTGTATGTGGAAGTTCTTTTTTTATCCCATTTTAATTCTGCAAGGTATTTTAATTGCTTAGAATGATGCAAATAAAAGTAAGATTAATTGGGCCGATCATTCATTGCAAACATTTATTACATTTTCTTTAATGATGCAAACAGCAAGTCCCATCAATGTTGGAACAGCTCATTTCTTAGTCTTGAGGGAATGAAAGAGACACAAGGACAGAGACAGATTAAAGTATATTATGCACATATCCATTGTTTCCTTAAAAAAACAAACAAAAACAAAAAAAAGAAAACATGACAATCATCTCTAGTTGGTAATTTTGGCATCGTCTCCCCTCTTATAGTCAATGGTCCTTGAAAATAATCAAAAGAACAAGGCATGCATAATAGTTCCTGTTAATGCACATATTCCAAAGGATACCACTTAGAAGTAGAAAATCCATGTACGATGTTTGTGTACATTTCATATATATAATATATGGTCCCTTTGTTAGAGGTGTCCTAGGCCTACCAGTCTCTGCTGTGTTCACTTGGTCACTAAATTCACCCTGTTAAACGGTCTCATTTTCTGCATGACTTCTACTATTGCCTAATTTTTTAACCACTGTCTGTTTATTCCTCCCCGCATGTCTTATGGCAGGTTATAATCAGCCCGTTTATTGCAAAGTTTTAAGTACTTTAAATATCTGTCTTTAGGTCAGCTGACCCTTGTGATATCTACATAATTTTATCAAACGTTGCCAGAGTTGTAGCCAGTTTAATTTCCTATTTAAAACGAGAAAACACCCCCCCTCCCCTTTTTAGTAGGATTGCAACCTAATGGTCCTTGTTAAAAAGGTAGCCCACAATTTGGACCCATTCAGAGCTGTTCTGTGGTTCAGAAAGAAGCTTGAAACAAACCTTTGTCAACTTCCACTAAAAGATATGAATCTAATTTATGATACACTAATATACACAGGTGAAACGGCCAAATGTGTGATGGTAAGGGCTGTGGTTGCATCTTCTTTTACCCAAACCATATTGAAAAGAGGGAAAAGAAAGAAAACAAGTCAAAGCAAAAACACTGATTAAATACAATGTGGAATGAACTATCTGTTAAAAAAAAAGTGTACTGCTATGTATTCAACTAAATAGCTGTCTCTCATTTGCTCCAGAGGAGCTGAACAAGGGGGAAGGTGGCTGATTTACCAATAGAATCATACAGAGATTAATTTCATGAGTCTATCATCACACTTGACAAATGGCAGCGAGGAAGAGGAGGGACAGGACAGCGAATGACAGACATGTTATAGAAAAGATTCTACCATTTGAGCGGGAACCCCTTTGCTGTTGGAGAAAAAAGAAAAAGATGAATGTGCGCAAACATGTATGAACGCAGTAAGTGCGGAACCAAATGTTCGACCAATAAAAGTCTATTGGGATCGAGTCGTACTGGTTTCTCTGAAGGCGGAGGCAGACTTGATTAACCGAACATGAGGCTGAGTATGATGGTAACGATGGTAATGATGGGCGTCTTGATTGGCTGGTTTTGGCGCCCCCTAGACGGTAGTGTCGCAGATGGCGGAGAGTTGTGGGACTGGGCCTCTTTAGTCGATGTACTGGGAAAGCCAGCGGAAGCCTTCGCCGTAGCCCTGCCTCTTCAACACGCTGCACATGAACACCTCCAGTGGTCTTGTGTTCAGCTCCTTCAAAGGGACATTGCCCTGGGAAGAGAAGAGGGGAAAAAAACAAATTAAGCTATTCTTAATATACTCGTTCTAAAATTCTGTTTTATAGTGATGCTTTTTTTCCCAACAAACATAGTTACTTGTAAATGAAGTAATTTAATTCCTTAGGACCTATCCATACGAGGAAACAACTGCATGACCAAAGAACAACATTTTAGAAAAATTCTAAATCCTACAATGCAAAGCTTTAACCTATAAATGATAGAAATACAAAACTCAAAGCACAGTACTAGAAGAAAACTGAAGCTGGCACCCTGCCCATGATGAACTTAAAAATCGGCAAATAGACTGAATGGTTTGTGCAGTTCAAATTATCGTCATGCTGTATTTGTTTCAGAGACATTAAAGATTATGGCTACATTCACACTGCAGGACTTTATTCTCAATTCCGATTTTTTTGTGTGGTCGTTCACATTTCCAAACATATGCTACCTGTATTTGATCTCCTCTTTGAACTGCATTCATACGGCGTAAGTATAGTAGAGGACGCGATGACATCACAAGTAGCAAGCGTGCCCTTTGTTTAAGGAAGTAAACATTGGTGGTAGTGCTAAGGCACATCTCATGATTTTTCATTTCTCTTCCAACTGGATCCAGAACATTAACAACTCAATCGTTTCAAGAAGTTCAAAAACAGCGATTGCTCTCTCCTCATTACCATCCGCCATGTTGGTTTTTCTCCCTGCATCTGCTTTGCAAAACAAATAATTTCATGGTTTTGATGAAAAAGTTGGAGCTATGACCTTTAACCAATGAAGACTCCACCATTTTGAATATATTTATTTCAAATTTTTGCTCTTCCAGTAGCAATGATTAAATTGAACGGTTCCTAGTTTTAGCACCTGCTTAAATGTAGGTCAAAACCTACAGAGTCGAGTTCAAAATAAGACATCAGAAGACTGCTGTTCACCAATTCACTAGGGAGCAGAGTTGTAGGTTGCAAATATATGTTAGTCGGGATTGATGTTACACTAACTAAATCCTTCAACCTCTAAATCACTACATGCCTAGCTTATTTTGTGTACAGTGATCATAGCAAGCTAGCATTAGGTAGTTTACTTCTAATTACACCTTTCAGATTTATACCGCTCAATGGTTCCCCTCTCCTACTGATCCAGTTCTTTATCTTGTCACCTGTAGCCTTCTTTTAAGATGAGTATGAATACAAATTCTTAACAGTGTAGAATGCCCTCCACTGTTGCTTTAAGTTTGTGTCAAACAGACGATGGTCACACTGCAGTGGTACTGAATTGTAAAGGAAAACCAGCCATACAGAGAGAGTAATAACCTAGTGAAACTAGGCTAACAGAGCTGATACCTATTTAAAAGGGTCATAGGGCCTTCCTGTAGTTCAGGTCAGCGATTAAAAAGTAATTTAAGATTTGTTTTAATCTTACAAACTTAAAAAAGCAAAAGCTGGGTACCAATAGTTATTCTTGGTTTACTTACCTTGCCTGTCGTCTGTCCGTATAATCCAAAATATTCCCTCAGCTTCTCCTCACTCACAGCTTCAGGCCTGTCAATTTTGTTGCCAAGGATTAAGATAGGCACGTTTCCAATGGTCTCATCTGTCATTAATGCCTAGTAAAGACGAGAAAGAACAAGTGAGAGGAGCAAGTTTGATTAATGAATATTAAAAATGGAGTTTTGTCAGATTATATTAACCCTCAGAGTTGTTTTATTGAAATCACACTAAAAATGATTAAGTTCCGTTTTCAAACCCATCAAAACAAGTTGCTAAAATCCCAAATGAATTTAAACAGATTCACTGAAAGTTCCTGGTTACTTACTTTTCAGGTTACTTTTAAGCTTTATTTCCAACCCTAATGACAAAACAAGGAATTGCTAGTACATACTTACATCAAGTTCTGTTTTTGATTCAGCCAATCTCTGAAGGTCTGCACAATCCACAAGGAAGACGATACCATTGATGGCAGGGAGGTAGTTTTTCCACACTCTCCGGGCTGCGCCAACAAAATAAACATTTATTTTAGCTGATCAACTTATCTTCAAACAGCTTCTTTGGGTACCATAAAATGTACAAAATTTTAATTATATAAAAAAGAAAAAGAGAGAGAAACAAACCTTGTGCATGTCCTCCAAGGTCAAAGGTGGTGAATGTCATGCCAGCAATCGTCAGCTCCTCTGATGCTGAGAAAAAAAAAGAAGAAACATTTATGAGTGAGGTTGTAGCCCAGATTCACCCTGCTGCATTTTACTTTTAATTTATCAACTGCATGGATAATCTTTCCACACATAGCTAAGTGTGCATGGGAGGACGTGCAAGTGTGAGAAGGTGGCAATAACTCACTGGGGTGTAAAGTTGGCACATGCTGTCCCAATCTGTCATCTTTGAGCATGTGCAGTAGCGTTGTTTTGCCAGCATTGTCCAGGCCAAGAAATACTAACTTGCCGGATTTCTTGTACAGTCCTAAAATTAGAACCATTTAGATTATGAAGATATAATACAAAATATCTAAAAGAAAAGAGGTCTGCTAGATTACAAAAGCTAAAGACACACAATGAGTTAAACCTTCATTTAAAAGAAATCAATATTTGTTTAACTTGGATTTGATCTCATAAATACATATAGTATTCTAGCTTATTCATGTTAAAAGCATAGAAAGAAAAGCTATGCAATGCTACAAATAAAAGGAAAGCTGGACAGAAGCTGAATGTAAAACGCCGAGCTAAGTGTTACAGAGACTCATCTCTGCCAGTTCTTTTGAATTAGCAGCAGCTGATTTCTGAAGGAGCAGATATTTTTGGAGAAACCGTTGACAAAGAGCCTGTCAGCATGCTAATGAGTTTGCTACTTCACAGCTTCCTCTGCTGGCACGAGTAACGCTTCGAAAAGTAAACGCCTCCTCTGCTTCTGGAGTTTACATGAGAAAAGATTTTGACAGTTCTCTAACATGGGAAGATTACTGAAGAAACCACAAGAGATGTGCAAACTGAGGCCACTCATTACTCAACTTAATCTTGGGTTCAATAAGTACAAATTCTGAGTAAGTACAGTGAAACTGAGCGGATTTAAAAGATTTCTGACTGAGTCAGCTTTGCTAAACGTCACCATTACTCAGTGGCTCTGTGCGACCTGTCAAACTGGGAGAACAGGAACAAAAACTACGTGTGTCTTTGACACTGAAACTAGAACAGTGCACTCTGGAGAGAAGACCTAGTTGTACGCTTTAAGAGATATTCTGCTGTCAATCTACAATCTGTTAGAAATTCAAATTACAATCAAAGGAACAAAACTCTCAGGGTATTTCTAAAGAATCTTTCCCCTGTAATAACTCTATGAGCTACAAAAACATTTATTTCCCCTTTGTGAGCAATTATATATTTTTATATTCTAGTTTTAACGTCATAAAATGGTAGATTGGGATTTTTAAATCAAACATATTATTCAGGCGACAGTTGGACATACACACACCGTCTTTTGAGTAACTTCCATTGCAGCATAAATAGATTTCCAGGAACAAACCGACTTGTAAATATTGAAAACACTTAATGCATGTTACAAAATATTTAGCAATTTTTTAAAGCTCTTCTTCATTTTAGTTACATAAGTATAAAGAAAAACCTGCAATAACGTTAATAATATATATTCATCATTTCAAATCCCAGACCACTTGTTGAAAAAGCTGCATCTCACTACATGTGCAAATGTCAAATATCATCTAATGACTTTTACCAAATCATCTTGTTATTCCCTAAAGGTTTAACTTTTATAGCAAAACTGAATGCAAACCAGATTATAAGCAAAAAATTATTGAAGGCCACAGGAGTTCTTTGGTGAATTGAGAGTAGGGAAACCAAAATCTGGAATATTTTGAGAAGCACCGCCAAAGTATAAGTCAACCATCAAAATCTTTTCTGAATATGTAAGGGTAAATGTTTTTCAAACATTTAGTTTTCTGAAAGTAAACTGATTTTTACACTTTGGTTTATGTTTTATAAACAAAGATATCAGCAGCACTCACCTAAAAACTGTAGTACGCTATTGAAACCGCTATAAATCCAATCAAATAGGAATGACATATCCGGAGCTGTTAAATTCTGAAAGACAAAACAACAACATCCACAAGTTATTTATAAGTTATCCGTAACTTTGAAGTGTAGTGGTACGAATGTGATGAAAATGCAGAGAAGAAAAATTATAAATTCAAAAAGACCACTTCTGAAATACATCTCTTGTCCACATAATTTATTTTTAAATAGTTAACCATTTGTTGGAGTAAAGACATAAACATAAGTGTAGATTGAATTAAACCTGGACAATTTTTCCCCATTGATGAAATAAGCAAGCCAAACATTCTTTTTTGTTACAGTGGAAATAACTGACCTGCAGCAGCAGATAACAGGAGATCAAGCTCCACTTAAAGAAAATGCACTTCATCTGACTATCAGAGTGATTGCAACGACATCAATAAGAACAATGAAAGGGTTTCTACACCTAAAGATTAGCTTTTTGTATCTTTTGAAAATGAGCTTCTCTTTAGAAACTAGAAAACCTGTTTCAGGGGAGTTGATAGACTAACCACAAGCTGGACAAACAAACTCTTTTAAAACACCATAAATTAAACAAAGTGTTTCAAGATTTCCAAATTGTATTAAGAAAAGACTTGCTATTATTGTGTAAAATAGAAGCTTAAAGTATATGATCAACATGTTTATTGCATCCGTACAAATTCACAAAAACTTTTTTACAAGCATATAATTCCTCACAAAAACAAAACAAAGAAATACTTAATGATAATTTCAAATCGTATCTTCTGTGATTGAAATTAAGGCATTTAGCAAGGTAAGCCAGTGTTGAACTCTTGCCTTAATTACATAGTGATGCAATCACTCCAGGGCTAAAGTATAAAGTAGACAAAGGTCAAGATTAGGCAAATACAAAAAAAAAAAAAAAACTCACACACACCCACACACACGATCAGCTGCTGTCAGACAACCGTGCCAGTGGTGTGATGCATCAGTGTTTGAGAATGAAACGTTAAGTGGTCGGAAAGTTTTATCTGAGTTTAAATCAAATGTCATACCAGTCAGTGGACGTTTTATCCATGACTGAATATGCTGTTCAAGTTTTTATTCAAGCTGAAATCCATAACATGCTTTCAGTCCTGAACTATATGTTCTACACAAAAAAGAACAGATACAGCTTATATGAGCCCTGATGACTTAATGACCACAAAAATAAACAGTAAAACTGATGTGATTTATGTGATTAGTTCCAAAAACATCCACTGACTCAAGTTTGTCATTTACTCTCTCCTTTTTAAGTTCACACAGCTTTTGCAAATCAAAAGTAGGATGCATGGAAAGTCCAAATAACTTGAAAGACAGAAGATTGAATTTACCTGACCTCTTGAGCCTTGTTACTGCGACTAGTTTCATATGACGGTACTATAAGAGTGTTTCTTCATTAACAGAAAAAGCCTTAGATGAACACATTTAACCCCAGGGCTTAAATTTAGGCCTAAATGTCAGAAGAGCCACACACCAAACAAATATTCAAAACATTTAAACTTACTAGCGTCACTTGTGATGTCGTAATTTGTAATGATCACAAAATTACAATCAGGACTACAAATATAATGAATTAAGAGTTTCCACACTAGACAGCCTATAAACTAACCAAGGCATATAAAAACCATTCACATTAAATTACTGCTATACAAACTATAAATACCAGTGTAATATCAACTTATAATATATTTTTAAAGCTGTCAAACACAACAAAACATCAACATCTTAAGAAAAAAAAAAACTAGTTAAAAGCGGTGTGCATATGAGCTTGTGTTTGATGTTACAGTTTCAGCATCTTTTACCATGTGTTACAAGTTGGATTACAGCACTAACTTCACATTATTGTTAAATAAACGGCCGAAAGTGTGAGCTTAGCAGAAGAAAACAAAAAACATAAACACGAGCTCATATAAATATATTTATGAAATGTGTTTAAGTTGTCATACTTGAAAAATGTCATAACATTATACTAAGATGGAGCGGCGCTAAACATTACATAATGCAGCGTAATACACGTTAGGTGTGACGAAAAAAAGCTTAATATCTTAGATTTTTTTTCAGATCTATGCCAATAGTGGAGGCTGCGTCTTTGTTTTTTTTTTTAGTTTTAACCGACCTAGGAACAAGCTACGTGTCATATTCTGTAGGCGACGTCGCATCGAGCGGCTACGAGCTGCGCTAGCCAATTAGCGGTTAGCTTGACAAATAGTTTTCTCGTGACCTACAAACACGCAAATATAGGCTAAGATAGATGTTTCTCGATCAAATAGGGTTCCATACGGTTATTGGGCACAGTGGGGTATAATTTGTCTTCCTATCAAGGTTAAATAGGTTCAAACGAAGCAAAAGAGCAATGCTAATGTAGCATCATTAGCTACCGGAGTAACAAGCTAAAAAGCCGAACACTAACACCCGTTTTTGTTGTGACATAAATTGATGGAAAACTTACCGTTTGTTTAGATGTTGGTTTATTCGCAGAGTTTCTTCGCTCTAATAATCATGTAAATCAACCTGCCGGCCAGGGGGAACAGGGAAAGTGGCTGCCAGGTCTTCCTCAGCTCCCTTTCGTATTTTGTTACTGAGCCACGACACTGCAATGGCTGTTCTGCTGCTCCCCAGAGCTGCTCTGCCCTGCCGCTTCCTGCCGGTGTCTCACTGTCACTGCTCCGACGGAACACATTAAATAAACCAACACCCCACTCATTGTCAATGCAGATACAGCAAAATTTAATACCACTTGCCAGATAAGTTTTTTTTTTTTTTTTTTCATTTGTCATTTCATCGCTCTGAATGTACTGGGACATTCTTTCTCTTCAAATGTGTTTTTCCCCCTTTAAATCAACATGTTTACGTACAGTCCTTTGGATCACAGCTTTTCTTATTCAGATTTTTTGTGTCATTATTTTATGGTTTTACCTGTGTTAAAGTCAAAGTATATAGACACTCATTTTTAAATGATTTGGTATGGTGTCTATAAGTGGAAACTAACAGATTTTTTTGAGGGCGGTATTGGTTCTGAACAATCTAACACTGAAGTTGTGAAAAGAATATTGGATATGGTTTTTAATCATATTAATGTACCTGATTCGTTGGTGACACACACACACATATATATATATATATATATATATATATATATATATATATATATATATATATATATATATATATATATATATATATATATATATATATATATATATATATATGAGGCCTCTGAAACAATACAGCACATAACAGCAGGGTGTAAAATGCAGGCAGGAAGTGCATACATGGAACACCACAACCAGGTAGCTGTCATAGTGTACAGAAACACCTGCCATGAGTATGGGCTGGAAGTCCCAAGGTCAAAATTGAAGACACCTCCTAAGGTAGTTGAGAATGACCGAGCTAAGATCCTATGGGACTTCAAGATCCATACTGACAAACAGGTGATGGCTAACCAACCAGACATTGTGTTGATCGACAAACAGCAGAAGAAGGCAGTAGTGATAGATGTGGCAATCCCAAGCGACAGCAACATCAAGAAGAAAGAACACAAGAAGCTTGAGAAATACCAAGGGCTGAAAGAGGAGCTAGAAAAGATGTGGAAAGTAAGAGCAGCAGTGGTGCCAGTGGTAATTGGAGCACTGGGGGCTGTGACCCCCAAACTGGGAGAGTGGCTAGCAGATTCCAGGTAAAACATCAGAGGTCTCTGTCCAGAAGAGTGCAGTCCTAGGAACAGCCAAGATACTGCGCAGAACCCTCAAACTCCCAGGAGAGATGTAACCCTCTCATAAGAGGTTCCAAATGTGTCCAAATGTTCCAAATGTGTCTATCTACTTCTTTTTTAAACATATGGATCCCCACAGTTTGACCCTTTGCTGCCAGAATATTCAGTTTAGGGAACCTGGGTCCATATATTTCTCTGTTCCTGTCTATTAAAACGTATTATAAAAAGGTAACACTCTACTTGATCTGTAAGCGTTATTTTTGCTGTTGTTTATTTTTTCACTATTATCTTTTTTGTTTTTTTTATAAATTGCTGTTTCCCTAGTTTTCTCTATCACTTATTTATTCTCTCTCCTTTTTTATCGTTTTCCTTGTTCAAGAATCAGTTGTGCAACAGTAGGGGTCTCATAAAATGTCCCAATATTTGCAGATGTAGAGAAAATCTGTCTGTGATATTATTCCCGCCTTAATCTATCTATCTATCTATCTATCTATCTATCTATCTATCTATCTATCTATCTATCTATCTATCTATCTATCTATCTATCTATCTATCTATCTATCTATCTATCTATCTATCTATCATCTATCTATCTATCTATCTATCTATCTATCTATCTATCTATCTATCTATCTATCTATCTATCTATCTATCTATCATCTGTCTGTCTGTCTATATATCTATCATCTATCTATCGATCGATCGGTCTGTCTATATATCTATCATCTATCATTCATCTGTCTGTCTGTCTATATATCTATCATCTATCTATCATTCATCTGTCTGTCTGTCTACCTATCTACGTTTTCATGTTAGTTTAGAAAAAGACTGTGTAAGTCTATGTAATTGATTGTAATTGAACAGAAATATATATATCATGATATTATATTATATTCCAGCAATACATTTATATCTGCTATATTGGATTAGTTACTTCGACCTTTTAAAAAAATTGGCTTAGCTTCTAACCCTCTTTAAAGTGTATAATTTCTGGGGGGAAAAAGAAGGATTAATTATTATTGTTCTTCGACAGGAAAAACTGCTTTGGATACATAAAGGTCAGATTTTCTATAAATTGGCTTTATAATTTAAAGGCTAACTAGAAACATTTTCTGGCTCCATACAGGTGGAGGATTTTTGTCACATCCCAGTTTCTGTGCATCCCTTGTTTCCCTTGTCTTGTTTCTGGTACTCTGGAAAAATCATGAGCACAGGAGGAAATGCCACGTGTACATACTGCGCATGCCCAACCATTTTTTACGTTGATCCTGCTGGGTGATCCAAACTTCCGGTGAAAGGGGAGAAGATTACTCTCAGCAGGCCTTCGTACACTAACCTGTGGGTTGTCGAACCGGGTCTAGAGTACAAATCATGGCTTTGTGAGGGCAAACAACCGTCCAATCAAGACATTTAAAGTAAACACAAGATTTCAGCTTTGGGCTTTACCACTTACTTGGAGCTACACCGCCAAAGCCACAGGTTTGAGTGTTACTCCGCGACGGTCAGAGCTAGTCAGCTAGCTTCCAGGGCAGTCAAACGAGAACCTCCAAATTAGATTCTGGTGTCTGTTTCAACATGTCAACCGCCGGGTTCAACTCCCAGAATGGAACTGGGACGGCACAGACCTACACGAATGGTGAGCAACTTCTTAAACCTGTGTGAAGGCTGTTGGTTTCGATGTAGCATATGAGCTAACGCTGGTTAGCTGAAGTCAGGAGGCTAACCGTTAGCTGGCTTTACTAGGTAAAGATGAGCTGTCAGGTTAACCGTTGGTTAATCTCGACTCTTTTTAGCTGTTTTAATGAATATTAAGATGGGCTTCATGTTACACAAACCGAAGTGTATGTTTAGGTAAATATTTCTAAAGGGAGTTGGCTTTAGTTTTGGTTTTTAAATCACAAGTGGCATAACATTACGAAAGCACTGGGTGGTTATCAGACTCAACATGGTATCCTAGGCAAATCAGTAGTTGATCTAATTACATGCAAAGTAAACCCGTAGTAGATTTATTATCTAAAAGAAAAAAAGTTTTAAATAAGTTAAAATGTTTTCATACGTAGAGGAAAACGAGTAAAAGATTCACATCAAATGTCTTTGAAAGTGATTTTTTTTTTCACTGTTGACTAAAGGATAACGAAACTCAAATTAATTTACCAGAATATTTGTTTGCTATGCTGGATTGACATCAGTGTTAGAGGGCTAAACAGGACCAAGCTGTGAGTGTTCTTCCTTTCACTGTACATGTGGCACTTTGGGAATGATCCAAATAATTTAAAAGCTGTGATTTCCCCAAACCAAAATAAGCTGCTTTGCTTTGGTTAATTATTATTTGCACAGTTTAATCACTTTTCCTTGAAAACATAAGAGAAACAATTTACTTGCACTTGGTATGAACAGATATAAGTATCCTGCAGCCTTTATTGACGCATGTAAATAACTTGTCTTGCACTGATGACTTCAGGCATTCAATTCAATTCAGTTTATTACTATAGCGCCAATATACAACAAATGTCATCTCAAGGCACTTTGCAGTTCACCAGATCATGCAGTCAAATTGATTCAAAGTTTTCTATCTAAGGAAAACCACTTGATTGCATCAACTCATTGACTGGGATGCGATTCCTCACACTAGGCATGCTTGTAGCAAAAGTGGAGAGGAAAAACTCCCTTTTAATAGGAAGAAACCTCCAGCAGAACCAGGCTCAGTGTGAGCGGCCATCTGCCGAGGCCGACTGGGGTTCCTACTTTGTAAAGCTTAACCCTGAAATTGTAAATAAGCAGAATTCTTAAATTCAATTCTATTTATTGCTGTAATTTTTAAACATGGTGCATTTATAAGCCAAGTCTTGAATTTGTCTGGTTTAAATGTTTATTCTTTTTAGGCTGCATACCTTGTTGTGTCTAGTTTGTGTAGAATATTTTTAATTGGTCAGGGTTTGTATGAGATTTGAATGTTTTTAGAAGCATAAAATTGAAAACCATGGTTTCATTGCATACTTTTTTAAATCAAAACATTAAAATAGAATTTCACAATAAGATGTAAAAAATGTAGTAGATTGTCAAGCAGAATGTCTGATGTTTATGTCCTTCTGTTCTTGATTTGGTAACGCAATTAGATAATAGCTTATGCAGCCCAAAAATCTCCAGTCAGCTGCTTAACAGAAATGTAAGCAATTGTAATCTTTAACCGAATGGTGAAGGTTAGGTCCTCTTTAGTTTACACACCACGTCCAGTTTTAGACACTGAAAACAATCAAATCTTAATAACTAGCTTATATGCAGTTTGCAGTGACAGGGCTTGTTATTCTAAGTTCTATACAGTCAGACTTTAGTTTTCTCACTATTACAAAGGTTCACCAGTCTTCTTAAAATAACTTTTAACAATAAGAATACCATGAAAGAAAATATTGATCACCGGTGCAGCAGGATAGCATCTTGACAAAGCGGATCTGACCTGACAGCCCCCGTCATGGGGCTTTGAAGCTATTATTTAAACATATAGTGTTTGCTTATAATGTTAAAGGGATAGTTCGGGATTTTTGACATGAATCTGTATGGCATCCCCATCACCAGTGTCATGCAATCACACTGACTTACCCCTGGCAGCATCCTGTGAGCAGAGTTCTCGTCCAGCTTTGGTCAAGCCGAAAGTAGTCCGGCAGGTTTGCTAGACCCAGCGAAATAAAACGTTTCTCTTCCCAAAACATTATGTGTTCAAAAGAGCGATATTTTTGCATCCCAAAAACATTGTAGTGGAAAAAGTCACACGTCGTTATTGCTCCGCCTAGCTCCTAGCTAGGCGGAGCGAGACATGCATCTGGCTGTTGTTGAGCTCGCTGTCAGAATGACGGCGCGCACTGATACGAACAGAGAGAAAATAGGACCAAGTGATAACGACGTGTGACTTTTTCCACTACAATGTTCCACTACAA